TGTTTCCAGGACTTAGGGTCCAACGCCGCCTCTTAAATTCGTCATCTTTATCGTGCTGTCTTGCCGTTATACATCACATAAGCCTCGCAATCTAGTCGTTCATTTCGTTCTGTCTTTTGTAATTCTTTTCATATCATGGATGCAATCTGGGTCGGGGGGGGGGGGGGGTGGAAAGTAAGGTTGGTACGGTTTAACAGACAAAAGGCAAAACTTTAAATGAACGTGCCTGGGACTGCTCAGCGGCTTCAAACCTTGCCATTTCAAAATGTTCCCAGCAATAACAGCATGATACTAGTAAGAGGAAAAAAAAGAAGTTGGCGGAAAAGCAGGAGAAGAAGGAGGAGGTAGAAGAGACATAGAGGCAAGAGGAAGAGAAGGAGGAACAAGGGAAAGTAAGGCAAGAGGAGGAGAAGAAGCAGAGGCTGAGGCTTCAAGACGCAGGAGAAGTCGTACATTTGGATCCTCAGTACAGTATGCTTATTACTATACGGGGTTAGTCTGGTAGTCTGGAAGCTGAAACTAAGGCTACCAGACTACCAGACTACCCCCGAACAGTAATAAGCGTGCATGTTTAGAAGCCTTTAACACTGTAACCAACGAATGGAATGTTTCTTTTGTTGTGTGTGTCTCAGTGTCGCTGTTTATGGCGAGAGAGAAAAACTGCAAGCATTAGAACGATTCCTCTAGCATGTGATTTCGGTTGATAATTTCTTGTAGTGTTTATACAATTGACATAACTAATATTTCTCACTCAACCTGCTCGCAGTCCCCTGCGGTAGATTTTCTCTCTATCCACCAGCAACAAATCGATCACAGTAATGTTATGAAAAAAGTGCACAAGCTGAACATTCTGAAAGCAAAGAAAATCTAGCTCAGTTGGAGCCGGTCTTGGCCCTGCCTGCTCGTTTGTGCTGAGTGTGTTTTCGTTTAGATAACGGGGCTGCAAGGCGTTTCTGACCACACTTAGAAGAGAGGTACAAGAGTTCTGAGTGTATAGTGACGAGATACAGCGTGGTCATGTTATGTATGGTAAACAGCAATTAATGTGTGTTTTTTTTCCTAAGACAGTAACAACATCGTGAGGCTGCTGTAGAGAGAGCATATGACAAAATCTTGACCTCAAGTTGAAGCCTCATTTAACTAAGTGGAATTGGTCCTGTCTGCTAAACCTCTGTAGCTAAAAATTACAAAAGTTACGTTAACTATTGAATGTAATCCAAAGCATCATTAGCCACTGAATGTGTTAACTGTGTGTATGTATGGCCACCAGGCTCGGTAATTGTGATTGACGAATCACATTGTGAAAAATATATCAGACGTTAGGTAGTGTTTATACGCATTTCTTAGGACCAAGCAATCAGAAAGCAAGAAGCAGAACGGCATATCCCCCTCTCGACACCCGAAGCGGTAAAAGCGGACGTGAAGAACAGAAGAACCAGTCAGTGAGGCAGTTGTGTTCTCTTCCTCCGTATTTTTCATGTGCTTTTAATTTCACATTTTAGCACAGGTCCTAGTGTAACTCACGCCAAGCCATTTGTAGATTTTACATAATTGTTTGAATTGTACGGCCAGAGTTTTCTCCTCTACCTTTTCCTCCTCCTCATTATTATTGGTATTATTATTATTATTATTATTATTATTATTATTATTATTATTATTATTATGCTGCTTCTGCTTCTTCTCCTCCTGGTTCTTCTTCTTCTTTTTCTTCTTCTTCCTCCTCCTCCTCCTTGTCCTTGTCCTGTTCCTCCTCTTCTTCTTCTTCTTCTTCTTCTTCTTCTTCTTCTTCTTCTTCTTCTTCTTCTTCTTCTTCTTCTTCTTCTTCTTCTTCTGTTTTTGCAGTTGAAAATAAAGTGTGACTGTTGTGTTATGGTTTACCACAAGACTGCTAAACCAACGCGTTTCAGCCCAACACATCCAGTTTCAGCAACCCCCCAATTAGTCGCCTGTTACAACACTCTAGTTAAGTGTGCAGTGAGTCCGTCCTGATGTTTTCAGCCACAAAAACTGGGACCTGAGTTTGACCAGACTGCAAGAATGCCATGTCAGGTAGATTGACGCCAGAGAGCTCCAGATCGCACAGAAGCCCAGGGAAGAATAGTAAACCAACGCATAACTGGTGTAGTAACTTGCTACACACAATGAGGGATATTCTGAAGAGGTGACCACTTTGGACCACTTTGTTTTGAATGGTTTGGTTTACAGTGAGAATCGACAGTTGACTAACAATCTATGTGAATTTATTGCTTCAGATAATGTATTAAAAGCAATGCCACAATATCCCAGTACATATAGCTGCAAGCGATAATGGCTGTGTTTTGAATAATCTGAACAAGATGGCAGAAAACACTCCGGAATGCCTAAGCCATTTGTCTTGTGCTGTGGAGGCTGTGGTTTTGGTCCCGATCGTTCAGATTTTGTCGATGATACCTTAGAGCTATGGCTTTACAACAGTTAATATGCTTTGTGCAATGTTCTTATCTGACGACCAACCACTCTGTAAAGAGGTGGCAAGTCATATGGAATCTAACTTAGTGTAGTAAAGTGGATTCTCTCATATCTAAACAGCTTGACTTGATCTGCTTCAAATGTGATGTTTTAGAGAGAATAAAAAAACTTCGCTTTTTCTTTAACTTGTTCTTCCTCTGCGATGACCTTAAAAGCTCAGTTGGCCCGTTGTTTTGCAATTTACACCGGGATGATTGCATTATGTAACTCGGCTGAGATAGCTACGCCTTTGCGGCCAGAACATCTTATTTCAGCAAATTACCAGTTTTTTTTTTTAAAGTGAGTCTTTTCTTTTTCTTTTTTGAGCGTGTGTGTAGTGTTTGTGTGTATATATGTGTGTGTGTTCATGTGTTATGTGCTTATATGTCTGTCTGTCTGTCTGTCTGTCTGTCTGTCTGTCTGTCTGTCTGTCTGTCTGTCTGTCTGTCTGTCTGTCTGTCTGTCTGTCTGTCTGTCTGTCTGGCTGGCTGGCTGGCTGGCTGTCTGTCTGTCTTATGTCTGTCTGTCTTCTGTCTGTCTGTAGTGTTGTGTTTGTGTGTATGATTGTGTAAGTTGGTATTGACCCCCCCCCCTCCCTCCCACAATGCTGCCCCCAGAACCCACATGATAATAGCCTTTACACATGGTGCATGCTGAGCTAAGAATTAATGACATGCAAGTGATGTTGGTGCACTAAACATTGTGGGGTAACTGGACCAGATATAAAAGATGACTAAATCTGTACACAAGTCTGCTATTTTTGTCAGTGCGATATGCTAATTTTGGTTCTCGTCTTGTCGATGGATGCCACACTTTGGCCTATCAGTTACCCACGGACCTATATCTAAAGTATACTTCGAGTTGTGTCATTTTAGTTTTTAGTTATCTTTGCAATATGATATAATATAAAATAAATCCATAACTAAGCTAAAAGTATATTTTGAGTTCTGTGTTATTTTTTGTTTTTAGTCTTCCTTACAGTATCCTATAGTGTAAAATAGCCCGGCAACTACAACAGATGAGATACTTTAGAATAAGGTATTATCGGTCTAGAACAAGTTCTATAACTAATTAGGAAATTAACCTGGAACAAAAACCTGGCTTTCACTTCTTGCCCTATGTGATGTAGCATAATGAACTGTCTATTATACAAGCCAGACACTCTGCTCAGTCTCTTCAGCTGGAAACCGCTTTTCGCTGGCCCAATGAGAAATAAGTTAATCAAGTTTTATCAGGTTTGTCTGTCTGATAATAATTCACTGCTCTGCTTACAAAGTAAAAGTATATTCATATACAGTTCCATATATTATTGCAGGGTTGTAAAGTGCCGGAAATCCTCAGGTATACCAGTACCAGGTGTTGGTACTTCTCACATAACCAGTACCAGACCTCACACACACCATACCTCACACACACACACACACACACACACCAGTACCAGAACTCACACACACCAGACCTCACACACACACACCAGTACCAGAACTCACACACACCAGACCTCATACACACCAGCACCGGACCTCACACACATCAGTACCGGACCACTCAAACACACCAGTACTGGACCTCCTACACACCAGTACCGGACCTCCTACACACCAGTACTGGACCTCCTACACACCAGTACTGGACCTCCTACACACCAATACCAGACCTAACATATACCAGCACCAGACCTCACACACACCAGTACCGGACCTCACACACACACCAATACGGACCTCACATATATCAGCACCAGACCTCATACACACTAGTACCAGACCTCATACACACCAATACGGACCTCACATATATCAGCACCAGACCTCATACACACTAGTACCAGACCTCATACACACCAATACCAGACCTCATACACACCAATACCAGACCTCATACACACCAGTGCCAGACCTCACACACACCAATACCAGACCTCATACACACCAGTACCAGACCTCATACACACCAATACCAGACCTCATACACACCAGTGCCAGACCTCATACACACCAATACCAGACCTCATACACACCAATACCAGTCCTCATACACACCAATACCAGACCTCATACACACCAATACCAGACCTCATACACACCAATACCAGACCTCATACACACCAATACCAAACCTCATACACACCAGTGCCAGACCTCATACACACCAATACCAGACCTCGTACACACCAATACCAGACCTCATACACACCAATACCAGACCTCATACACACCAATACCAGACCTCATACACACCAATACCAGACCTCATACACACCAATACCAGACCTCATACACACCAGTGCCAGACCTCATACACACCAATACCAGACCTCATACACACCAATACCAGACCTCATACACACCAATACCAGACCTCATACACACCAATACCAGACCTCATACACACCAGTACCAGACCTCATACACACCAGTGCCAGACCTCATACACACCAATACCAGACCTCATACACACCAGTGCCAGACCTCATACACACCAATACCAGACCTCATACACACCAGTGCCAGACCTCATACACACCAGTGCCATACCTCATACACACCAGTGCCATACCTCATACACACCAATACCAGACCTCATACACACCAGTGCCAGCCCTCATACACACCAGTGCCAGACCTCATACACACCAATGCCAGACCTCATACACACCAGTACCAGACCTCATACACACCAATGCCAGACCTCATACACACCAATGCCAGACCTCATACACACCAGTACCAGACCTCATACACACCAATACCAGACCTCATACACACCAATACCAGACCTCATACACACCAATACCAGACCTCATACACACCAGTGCCAGACCTCATACACACCAATACCAGACCTCATACACACCAATACCAGACCTCATACACACCAATACCAGACCTCATACACACCAATACCAGACCTCATACACACCAATACCAGACCTCATACACACCAATACCAGACCTCATACACACCAGTGCCAGACCTCATACACACCAATACCAGACCTCATATACACCAATACCAGACCTCACACACACCAATACCAGACCTCATACACACCAATACCAGACCTCATACACACCAGTACCAGACCTCATACACACCAATACCAGACCTCATACACACCAGCACCAGACTTCACACACAACAGACCTCACACACACCAGTACGGACCTCACAAATACCAGCACAGACCTCATACACACCAGTACCGGACCTCATACACACCAGTGTCACAGATCTACTATGTTATTTACTTACTCTGGCTCGTTGGGTAGGCCAGCTAACAGGCTCAACGACCATAGAACAGACTTAAGACATACACCTACGGAGTACACATAATCTTCAATGAACAAAGAGCAATTCAACCTAATGCATGCCTCAGCAGCTATGGAGGTCCCTAATCCGAAACGCCGGTGGTGGTAGCTTTTACACTCACTAGCACACCCCTGTGCCGTTCCCAGGATTCAATTCCACCTCACTGTCGTACAGCGCTAACTAAGCTGGAGTCCTTACCACGCGAGACTCAGTGGCACACGTAGGATGAGTGACCCAAGCATGAGCGGGCAGTGTTAACGCCACTAACAATGCATGTTAACACTAACTACCTGCTTAACAGATTCATTACACATAAACAGTCTTGTCAAAACACCGTATGGAAACACACATCTAAAGCCTATCATTGCTAATCGTCACTAATGTAAGATACGTTAACCGTCGCTGTCCAACAAACGTCCCGTCCAAGCGTCCTGAACAGTTCTCTCCAAACAACCTGCCCGAGACTTTTGTGCCTCTCACACGTTCAATTTTGAAACACTGTACCTCGTGATACTCGCCCGGCGTAGGGCTCAATCCAACTCAGCCGACACAGTTTATTCCATGGTCAAACTGCGCGCTCTCGCTCTAAGTTTGTCCGAGGGTCATCTCGTTCAACCAGTCCTCACACATACCAGTACCATACCTCTCACACACCAGTACCAGACCTCACACACACCAGTACCAGACCTCACACACACCAGTACCAGTCCTCACACACACACCAGTACCAGACCTCACACACAGCAGTACCAGACCTCACACACCAATACCAGACCTCACACACACCAATACCAGACCTCACACACACCAGTACCAGACCTCACACATATCAGTACCAGACCTCACACATCACCAGTACCAGTCCTCATACAGACCTTACATACACCAGTACCAGACCTCACACACACCAGTACCAGTCCTCACACACAGCAGTACCAGACCTCACACACACCAGTACCAGACTTCACACACACCAGTACCAGTCCTCACACACACACCAGTACCAGACCTCACACACAGCAGTACCAGACCTCACACACCAATACCAGACCTCACACACACCAGCACCAGACCTCACACACACCAGTACCAGACCTCACACATAGCAGTACCAGACTTCACACACACCAGTACCAGACTTCACACACACCAGTACCAGACCTCAAACACACCAGTACCAGACCTCACACACACCAGTACCAGACCTCACACACATTAGTACCAGACCTCACACATCATCAGTACCAGTCCTCATACAGACCTCACAAACACCAGTACCGGTCTCCACATACACCAGTACCAAACCTCACACACACCAGTCCTCATGTATACCAGTATATCTACCACTTGTTTTATCACTTGAAGGTTTGACCTATTTCTCTGCAACTCAAAGTGTCACACCCTGGATTTAATTTCAGTGGAAGAAAATCCAGATACCCTGTTCAGTCTTTTAAGAAGTTATAATTATGACACCTTCAAGGGTCACATCCTACTGTGGTTTACCTTTATGTCTGGATTGGATAAGGAATTGTGTATTCATTTATAGTTAAATGAGAAATTCATGGGCCACTTGGGAAACTTTGTTGTTCAGTAAACAAATCTGTCATTGTAATCAGTCAAGTTAGATTTATGTCTTAACCAGCAGCAACAAATGTCCTGTTTTCTGTACACTGTGTTAAGGAACAGAGAAACAAAGAAAGAAAGACCATGGGCTGTATAAATACTTTTTGCAACCTCCACCTGTACCATTGTAATGTTTAACATGAGACAGTTTAGAAAGGGGAAGGTGTCTACCTAGTGAGGTTTGCAACCTCTATTTTTGCCACTCTGTGTAATGTTTGGGACAGTTTTTGAAAGAGAATGCCATTGACCTGTTACATGAGAGGTTTGTAGCGGGTGGCCTAATTTCTGAACCTAGTTACAAGAATCATTAAAATCTTGTTCTGTGCCCTGTCAGTTCTGGTATCATTGTTTTTTAAAAACTTTTGAGCAGACACAGTTCTGGAACCTGGCCAGGTCAAGGTAGCGTGCTGCCTATCTTTGGAATACAGTTAAAAATTGACCAAGTTTTAGGATGAGGTCATATTTGGGCATTGTTTATAGATAAATGCTGTTAGCAGCAGAAATACAGATTTCAGTAATTTAAGTTCCTCATTTAGGTGTTGAGAGATGGGTCTGGCCAAGGGGTTAGAGCACTGTGCTGTCATGTGGGAGACCCAGGTCCAATCCCCAGTAAAGGATTGAGAAGTTCTTTCCTGCCAGGCAGAGATAAAAATCAATATCTTGACCTGTATGGTTCATGGATACTGTACTATGCATGGAGCCTTAAATCCACAGTCTCATTCCCCCCTCTCCTGCCACCCCCTTTCTCTGATGTAAACCCCTAGGTTATAAATAGGGGAAAGGGGGAGGGGGGTCATTTAGATGTAGATTGCATAAAGATGAATAAAGCACTTACTTTCAGTGTTATTTTACACCAAGCTAAGTACAGTTTGGTAGCAATTTTAATTTAAGAGAATTATAGTTTCTTCTCCATATAGTCTGTGCTGTATGAGGTTAGCATTAATATGTGCCCACAGCTTTCTGTCATGTGTTCTACCAGTCATGTTTTATACAGTCTTCTCCAGCATTTGCTTTCATGTTCACCCTCTGGCTCTCTTCCCCTTCTTGCATAGAGTGAATGAAGTGAGGTTGAACCGCAAAAGGACTGGGCACTGAGGGATTTACACCCAGTGATGGTGAAGTAAACTGCACAGCATCACTGTTTGGATGAGAAATCCCCCAGCTGCAAATCCCAGAAACCCCATGAAACTGTAAGATTATATTAGGATCCCCAGTTACAAATTAACCTGACATCCTGATCAGGGTGGGGCTGTCTTTGCCCAAAGATATGGTCTGTCTTTTTTCTGATGCAGGTAGTCGGTTCCCATTTTGGGTAAACTGCTTTTAGGATACCTTCATAACACTTGTTGTTGTCTCTGACAGTGGTTCCCAGTTAGTTATTACCTGCTGGTCTCTCATGTTTTTGAAGTCTGTCACAGACCCCCCATAGTTTTTAATGGTCATACAGAAATAACTTTTTCTTCTTCTTGGCATTCATCGGCAGTAAACTCTGGCAGAAAGTTTCAATTGTTTGTCCACTTCTGGACCTTAATCTTGTTCTTGAACGGGAACTTTGCATGCACATCTGTTTTACAGATGTAGCTTATTTGTATTCAGGCTTTTGATTCCTTGACCCTCAGGCATATGCTGACTTTGGTGGAAAAATCCCTGATTAATCAACTTTATGACTTGCTTGTTAAGGAGGCAATGGCTATGTTCTTTTCACCCCAAAATGGGGCCCCGTGGATGCAACATGTTAAATTTATAAATATTAGAATTACAAGAAGGCTTGCATTCTAGAATTGAGTTTTTCCTTACTACTATTAAATGATGCCACAGAGTGACAGACTGCTTAAATTTGCTCAGTCGACCCCCATGCAATCTGTGGACCTGCAGTTAGGAAACACTGAACAATGGTATTGACATTATTCTTCTATAGAACCACATCTCCACAGCTTTCACATAAATTGTCATTATTGAACTCCTATTCTTCTTAGCGTTCACTGGCTGTAAGGTCCAGTGGAAAGTTCTGGTTGTTTGTCCACTTTTGGACTGTAGTCTTGTTGCAGAATCTCAATTTTATATGCACATCCATTTTACAGATCTGGGTTACTTCTTTTGCAGACTGTTGGTGCCTCTCAGGCAGATGTGCTTCGCCTTTGGCAGAAAAATCCCAATTAGTCACCTTCTACACCATACTTATAAAAGAGGCAGCCCCCCCCCCCCATCGAATTGACCCCAGAATTAATCAGCTGATTTACTTTTTTTTTTATTACAGCATTATTGAAACTACTTATTTGTCTTTTTCTTCTTATTTCAGCATTATTGAAACTACCCATTTGTTTTGTCCTTTTTTCAGGATGTTTTGGAGCTGAGTCAGCTCAGCAAACAGACCAGTTTCACACCAATATTCTTTGTAAGAGTCCCACCACCAGGCTCACGAACTGTGGACACTGACCCGCCAGATGGAGCTCCTGCAGATGTTCATGTGAATTCATTATCTGTCTCTAGTCATAGCACACCTTCAAAAGATAACAGCAGCACATTATCCCCTAACCCCAAGAATTCCAATTCTCTTGGGACATCAGCAGAAAACAGTTTTACAGAGCCTGTAAGTCATGTGTATGAGCAACTGAGAAGGCTTGGCTACCTAGACAGTACTCCTGATCTGAAACAGTACAAAAGTTACTTCAATGTTGACAGTTGCTTTCTGGAGAAATTCACAGCTTTTGGTTCCAGTTTTGCTCTCTTTACTCGGAAAGTGTTGCAGAGCTATTTAATCAATGCAGCAACTGTTCTGAATAACTCCCACACTCGCGGCTTGAATATGTTTATCCTGTCGGCTTTTGATATGGCCAGGGACATGCTGATTACACCCAAGAAGCTGGAGTTTGCCAGGGAGAAGGAAGAGGAACTGTACAGATCTCTGCTGAAGATTTCTGTTTCAAAGCTGGATGAAATCAAGGAATTAATTGCAGGCACTATAGCCATGATTCGTAGTTGCCTGATAGCAGAGGCTGCAGAGTTTGATTTTATAGGTGAGTACTTTTTTTCTCTCATATAATTTCAAGGTTGATTTTGTATAAATAGCCCCTTTAATACATTAAATGGACAAATGAAAAAATTGTGTTAATGTGACACAGCTAAAGTAACACAAGGTAAAGAACCTTTTTTCTTTTCTTCCATAGGTCAAAATATGGTCCTTGCCTCATGTTTTTATCTCTTTTAGTCCCAGTAAAAGCATGATGTGTCATTGTTCTTCTGTTTGTATGCAAACTGTCACAAAATGTGTTCTCTGACGTAACAGTCTTGGTCATATCATGTTAAAGAAATCTGGCTGTCACAATGGCTACTTCCAATGTGTGTTTTTTGTTCATCTTCTTAAAGTCCATGCTGTATGGCATCAGTAGTTATGTCTTTCCACAACCTTCTGTCTCCTGTACTTTCAGTTAACTCTGACAGAAATGATCCTTCATGCCATGATGTCAAACTGTTGAGCATGTTTTCTCTCGGTCTCCCTCTGCCTCTCTTCCCCTCCAACTTTCCTACAGTCTCAATGTGTTGCAGTTTTTTGCCTTCTCATGACCTGACAAAAAAATGTAGATTGTCTCTTTCTGATGTGGGCAATTAGTTCTCTTTGCGAGTCAGTTTAATATGCGTTTAACCATGTACAAATAATGATTTCATGATTTGCTGTTGTGACATTTTCTTTGCCACTTGAGCATATGCTGAACTATCATCTAGGACCAAAAGAGTCGTAAAGCAATTAGAACTTGCTGGGGTTATATGGTCAGTATCGCATCAGTTGCCTTGACTTCCCAAAAGATATCCAGATACCTATTTTTAGCTTGATTGACATGGTAGTCCAGGTCATATGTTTTTTAAATAGTAATTCTGGATACAGCTGAGTGAGTAAAGTTAGGAAGCCTTTTTATGCCAGTGGCACGTTGGGCAAGTGATGCTGGACTCAGATGATTACAGACCAGTTAGTACTCGATGGGTGTGTGACCAACATTATGCCAACCTCTTTACTTCACAGGACATTTCCTTTATTCATTTTAGTCTGGACTAGACTTGGAGCAAATGTAACAAAAAAATTTAAAAAAACACACATGCGCGCACACACACACTCACACATGCACACGCACCAAACAAACCACACACACACACACAAATGTAAAAGTAAAAGACATTTTTTATGCCATCCACTTATTGAGTAACTTACCTTTTATAGACCATGTGGTACTCAGTAAGTGATTTGGTCAGTGGTTACCATCATACCAGCTGCCTTGACTTTCTAGGACTTTACCTGTCATTAAAAATACTGATTCAGAAGTGGCCATGGTGTAGTGGTTAGACACTAGCCTGGAGATCAGAAGGTCGTGGGTTCGGGTTCTAATAGAGCCAGACTTTTTCAAAAATTAACTTGGCTCCCAGGTTGACCCAGCCTTGAGTGAGTATCGGTAATAGCTTGGGAAGTAAAGGCAGCTGGCGTCATGTTGATCTCATCACCTACCAAGCCTGTAAAAATATAGATCCAGCCGTATGTGCCTAATACACCTGAACGCCTGGAAAAGGGTCCTTTACTTTACTAATACCGATTCAAATTCAAGACCAGCAAGTGAAGCATTTAGCCTGTCTGCTAATATGGCTCTCTCAGAATTAAAGTACTCAGCAGTGTGGCCCATAAGTCTCTATACATAGGAGTAATACACATATCCCCAATGCCATCACAAGCATAACCCCAGCTGTGCTTATACTGTTTTTTTTTCAGCAGTGGAGGACAGGCACCGACATGTGTTTTCAAAACAGTGGAATTTTTCCCTATGTATAGAAACTTACGGGGCACCCTATAAGATCACAAACTGATTTGCTTAGTGATATCCAACATTCCTGCTCATTATACCATTACTCTTTTACACACAGTTAACCTTATGCTGTTTTTTAGCATACCAATAATTTCTTGTGGTCATTTGTAAACGTGTATTATAAAATTGTTTTGTTAAGTGGGCAAGACATTTTTGTGATGATGCTACCTTACTTACATTGTTGCGGTAAATTAGTAAAATGTCCTTGGTATTTGGTACTTGAGGTTTCAACTTCACCTCAGTCAGGTCACCCCACAGTTGCTCCCATGTCAGTGATAATCACACAAAATTCCCTTCACTGTTCAACCTAAAAATTAGTGAATCGACAGTTAGGACTTGGCAAAACCCATAAATAATCATACACAGTAAATGCATAAAGTAGCAACTAAAATTGCCAACACCAAACCTCTGCCACATGAATTGAATTTGTTATGACAAGATGGTCACACACACACAAAATCAGTGCATGGGGCACATTGCCAGCCCAAACACAAACTAGCTGTTTTCTTATTATCACCACACAAAAGACATTCCCCATGAAAAATGCAATAGAATGTTCTTATAATTTATAATGTTATGGTAAGTTGTCGTTTGATTTATATAGTTTAATTATGTGCTGTTTAAAAGGTGTCTAAAAGTAAGAAGAGCAACTTTATTCTGCGACAGAGCATTCACAAATACAGGCTCTATAGCTTCAACATTGACCTCCAGAGATCTCTGAAACAACTGCCCTCACAGACTGAAGGATGTAGTTTGAAATAAAACCTTATCTTCCAGAGCACAAGACTAATGGTTTAGTTACTTCACCACAGAGGTACACAATGTGCCATTAAATATGTATTATTAAACTGGTCAGCCATTTTGTTTTTACGATGCTCATGTGCCATAACCCAGCCTAAACTGGGTAACAGGTAATGTCCTGGGAAGGGAAAATGGTCAGCCTGATGTTGACCACATACCCCTCCAGTGCTGATTGGTCTCTAAAAATATAGGTCTAGTACTATATACCTAATGCACCAGAAACACCAGAATTGTCATTTACTGACCTACTTTTACATGTACCCTATGTATTGTAAAATTTTTATGTTTTTTTTTTAAACTTTTTAAAAGTTAGGAACGTATAATTTACACTGCTCCATTTTCAAGTTAATTTGTAAAGTATTGCGGTACATTTAATGTACATAATTGTGTTTGTTTCAAGTAGGGTTAATTAAATTTACGTTGTTTTCATGTGGTGTCATTTAATTTATGTGATTCCAGGCATAGAAATAAATAAGAATGGTGGTGTCCAGAACACAAAAGAGCTTCAGGCATGTACAGAACAAATCAGAGACTTGGTTCTGAGCCGACTCAATCATGCCATTGCAGGAAAGTTGGTCAGCTCCGTGGATATTCTCAGGGACTCCTATACTGGTAAGAAACAGTCTGAAATGTTGTAAACAACTAGGGTTTTGTTTCCAACACCATGAATGCATTTTAATAGTCAAGTTTTCAAAACTATCATTGTGGCATCTGGGTCATTACTGTATATGTTGGCAGTTTTGAGGTTAAAGGCTACTTACCAGAGCTGTTGCCATACATTACACAGTTGAGATTTTTTTTTCACTTATTCTTCATTTCCGCTTTAACCAGCCGCTTTGGGTATCAAGGCAGATACCATCATCATGTGCCCTGCCAACTGGCGCAGGCGCTCATGAGTCTGCACAGATCACGATTCCTGGCTGCCTGGAACAGCTCTCTTGATCATATCCCTCTATGCCATCGTTTTAGCCCATCCAGCGTCATTTCTCTTAGTCTGCCTCTATCCCTTTTTCCCACTGATCTTTCCAGTTGTCACGATGTTCTCCAATGTCTCTCATCTCATTATGTGGCCAAAGAACAGTGTTCGTCTTTTTCTTATTGTTGTATATAGAGATCTACTTTCATTAGCCTCTTTCAAGCAATCGTTGTTAGTTACTCTGGCCATCCAAGGTATTTGTAACATTCTTCTCAGAAACCACATCTCTGTTGCTTCCAAATTCTTCCTAATTCGTTCAGTGACATTCCAAGATTTGCTGCCATATGGCAGAACAGGTTCTATATAACATTTCAGCACCCTATTTTTGACATTAAATGACAGCGATTTATTGCATAAGATATTTTTCATTTTCTGAAATGAAGCTTTTTCTTGACCTATTCTGCTTTTAATCTCTGTCACACATTTTCCATCTGATGATATGATTGTTCCCAGATATTTAAATTTATTGACTTGGTTAAGTCTTTTTTCTTCAATTGAGAAATGACTGGTTAGAAGCAGATATTAGGTTAGATAAAAATCCTTTGCCTTTTATGGAAATAAAACCCATGTCCCAGGATGTTTGAATCCAGCATGCTAGCTCCAGAACTGTTGCTCCACATTTTTACAAATAACTAGCAAGAAAATTGTCAGTATCGTTCCTAATGTTAAGTTATGAAATAGTAACTTTAACTTTTAAAATGCATGTATTTATCTTGTTATATCCATGATGCAAATTTGTGTTAAACCTAATTTTTTATAAACCTGTTAACCCGGCTCTCTAGCGTAGTTGGCTAAACCAGATTGCGCGGTGACCGGGTGACAAACTACTTGTGGTCCGGGTTCAATCAAGAGGGTAGGCAGGAAAGCCACATTTTCTCCCAGATTTACGGTATTTACAATGGAATCAAGGCCGAAAGGTTGCGATATCCATAATACCGAGCCTAAGGGTTAACAACTCATGGCTCCTGGATACTAAAACAAACAATAAACCTGTTAACGTTACCTCTCTAACTCTCTGTTGTGATGTTAACATCTTGTTTTTTAAATGTTTATCTTCGTCATGTTGCAACACTTTTGCAGAACATGGCTCTCATCAGAATGGTGCCTGACATTGCCAAGCCCAAGATGTCCTTGGCACTGTGGTTAGCCTATGCCTCTTCTCCAAGAGCTGTCTGTGCCTTCCATTATTGTTGTTTCTAAACTACTGTGGTGTTTATTTTAACCTAATTATTTCATTGTGTGAAAACTGTGCTGTTTATCTAAGTTTTCTTCTGTGTTCAAATCTGTTGTAACCGTGTTTCCCATTTGGTTGTCCATCGAACAGATTATAAGAGACTGTGATTTAATAAAGATAAAAGGGGTCCTCAGGTTTTAGCTAACTGGGGACGACTGTTGTGGAATGTTAGGATCTAATAATTTTTCTCTAACATTTTCTCAGTTTTCTAAAGTGTGAAATGGTAGAAAATTCACATCTATATCTTATCGCAGGAAAATATATATTTCTCAGTATATATGTTTCTGGCATTGTGCCACAGTTTTTTTTTTAAATGCTGTGTAAATCTCTGCATCGCTAGAGCTAGTTTCATCACTTATTTTGAACAGCCCCCCATTGTTTGTTTTATTAAGTCTTTGCTGTCATAAGTTTACTGTTCTGTTATGCCTGTACTACTGTATCAAATAAGCCTGTTATCTGTTAATTGTGATTTTACTGTTCTGCATTTCCCCTCATATTCAAGTGTTAACTTTTGCATAATCTCTGTATAAATAGATCATACAGGCCCATTATCTGATTGTGATGCTTTTGTTTTATATGTTAACTGTCTATATGTTTCCGAGGTTCATAGGGAAAGCAGTTGAATGGTAACTTTAGAAACTTCCGTGTATTTTGTAAGAGACGACTAAGAAAGATTTGGCCATAGGACTGTCTTCCCCATCCCATAAAAAAACCCCAGTAAACTATGAACAGTGAAACTGGGAGGTCTAAATCGACTTAGTATAAGTTGGTTGAGGTCTTATGTTCTATCAGGAGATAAATGTCAGAGAAGAATGTCTTATTCACATTGCTTTGCCTTGTTACTGCTATTGAAAACCTGCTCATTGATTACTCTTCAGCATACAAGTGAGCCAGGTTTTTTTCAAATGTATGTGCATGCACAATTCAAGTTCCTGAGCAAGGCTAAGGTCCAGAAGTGGATGGACACCCATAATTTTCTTGACTGTCTTTTTGCATGGAATGAAGGTGTGTCAGCACACGAACTGATACATGCTGAAGGAGATCCCAGATTGTGGAGAGGCAAGATTGCCCACACCAGTCGGCAAGGCACCTGATGATGATGATGATCAAGGAAATTGTTCTGCAGATTTTACAGCCGGTAAACACTAAGGAGAAGAAGAATTACTCCTTTTTAGTTTTTTTCCAGCTCTTTGTTGTTCCTTCAGGTACTCTGACCAGATGTCTGGAGAGTCTGGAGACTATGGATAAGGAGAACCCAGAAGAGTCTAAAACTACAGATGCCCTAAAACAGGTGAGTCATCAGTTTTCGTTTTGGTGATCAAACTAGCTAAGCAAGGTGCAGCAATAAATTAGAAGGGCACAGACACCGGCCCACTCTCAATTCTACACTTTACCTGCTACTATGTCCATGTCTGCAATGCGACACAGAATATTTACTTATTAATCAGGGATCAGCACAGTGAAAATGTGTATTGTCAGGGGCCAAAGGCCCGAACGCCATCACTAATACAATACAGTGATCTGCAAGCCACTTGCTGGGTCTCTGCAGGCTGGGTTCAGCCCATGGGCCACCAGTTGAAAAGCTGTGCTGTACATCACTAGTCTTCATGTTTGACCACAGCTTCCGGTCTCACATGTGCCAGTTATTTGCTGCACAATTGTTTCTTCTGGATGCCAAGTCTAGTGTTTAACTACCAGGTTTTATGCTTCTTGTTCCCCTCCTAAACTTCATATTGTCTTGACATATTTCAGTTTCCTTTTTCTGCCCTATATCCCCAGAGGAGAATAGATCCTCAACCAGTTCACACCAGGTTGACCCATGTTTTGCTATTGCAGTGAGCTCACCTCATGTCTTCTACATCTTTCCAACTTCACTCTCTAGTTCCCATCTGTGTGGGCTTCTTTTGGTCTGCCTTTAAAAAACAAAAATTACCATATAGGTAATAGTGTAAGGACACTCTAGATATATACTGTTTATTATTTCAATGTATCACTTCTTATTACCGGTCCAGCGATTGTGAATTGTTTTACTATGATATGAGCTTTTTTTGGCCCTGTAAGATGCATTGTGGTTAGTATTGCCAAGTATTCTTTCCACTGCTTCTTGTCCTACACAGTCAGTTGGTAACTTACTCATTCCTGCTTATACATTTAACAATTCTGTTTAATTATATGTTACTTGACTCTTTGTGCTCCAAGCAGAATCTGTTTTAAATTTGTCTCTGCTAAGTATGGGAATCGACTGTATGAATGTGAACAGATTTAGTCTCCATCTGTCATTCTTTGTTTGATTAGGTCAAAGAAATATCATATATGAAGGTGCATTATGAATATGATATTGCCAAGTTTCTGTCCCTAACAAGGAGGTAAATTTCTTGGACAGACACATTTGTTGAGTTAAGCATCAACACAGCAGCTTCAGAATGTTCCTCTAAGAGCTCTGTCCTCATCTTTAGCAACCAGCATCAAGTTCAGATTTCATTGATACCAGTAGCAGTCATTATATGTCCATTTTGCCTGTCTGCTGAGTGTTGGCCAGATCCCCTAGTTACTACCGTTGCCTCATTGTCTCCAGACCCTGATGATCTGTTTGTGCTTCCACACTCTTTACTCACTCCCATAGGGCCTTGACCATTTCTGGCTAACCATCATTTGGTTTTTCCAGCTCCATACTCTCCCCCCATGATCCTGACTATCTTACCATTTTATTTTGTTCCCTAGGCTGAAAACACCACACACAAAAGTGACTTGATTTGAGTCACAACAGGAAGTATGGAACTCATGGGTCAAGTCTTAAGCTTTCCAGTAATGCTTCCAACAGAAAGTATGGGAGAAGTGTGTGTGCCGCCTTCAGAAAACTTCTTTGAAGAGAATTAGGCTTTCAAGCCTCCAGATTCTTTTTTCATTCTTGTCTGGTTGCCCTTAATATGGTGGTTGCTGTGTTATGTTGTTGTTTAGAGCAAAACTATGATATCTGCACTTTTAGACAAACCTTACAACATTCTTGTAAGGAGCAGTGGGTCTAATCTTTTCCCCCAAAAAAATTCGGCCCTGGAACACACAAGTCTACAGACCTCCAGATGAGTAATTGTAATTTTCCAGCTACGGGTTGGATAGTTTTTCAGCATCTCTCATATGCTAAATCACTCTTTGTGTGTGTGTGTTTGTGTGTGTGTGCGTGTCAACACAGGCATATACCTATCTGCTTGCATGCATGGTCATTTATAATTTAGTTAATCCTTGCCCTGTTGTATCATTATATCTTTACAGTTAATTCTTCCATTATTCCTTTTTATGGTCTGCATTTTGTTTTTAAAAGACTTACAGATGGAACACACAGTCCAACACCTTTGGCCTCTCTTATCAATTTATTTATAGTACCTTTATTTATAGACCCATTTAAATGAATTTTTATTATTTTTTAGATCCTGAATGCAGCATACACTGTGGAGATAACTGTCAGATCCAGCTCTTCATTTATTCAGAACATTCTGGAAAAGATGAAACAGGTAAATTCATTACTAATCAGAGTCTTGTTTATCTCACCTGACTTGTCCTCTTCCCTTGATAGTTCTTGCTGTGTGTGACTGAGGCCCAAGACTCTTTCACTACGAGACAGTTGATACTAGAATACTTTCCAACTCAGGGTGTGTTATCTTTGACAAGGATCTTAATTTTCAGGGAAATAATTATCAAAGTTTTCAGCTAACGCCTTTAAATGCTGACTTATTATGTTGAGTATCGTCACTTTCTGGTTGAATGTTGAATTAAAAATCTACATCACAGTACTTGGGACACTCCCATAAGTGCTCAGTCCCCATCTTTAATAGCAAGTGAAGAGTTCCAATTTCAATGGTACCAGTAACCATCTGATTGTATTTCTGTCTCATCCTTCCTCTGAGTATTGAGCCATATGCCCTGGTAACTTCTCGCAGCGCCATTCTCCTTAGACCATAATGATCTATCTGCACCTATGCACTGTTCACCCATTCCCAAAGGGCCCTCACAATATCTAACTTGTCATGCATCAATTCACCACCAGGTGGTGCAGAGCCAGCCAGTCTTTCTGCCTGCTCATTTCTTAGCACACCCAGCAGAAATGTAAAAAAAAAAAAATGTTAATTATCCCAAAAGTGGAAACATTTCTTATTATCCTTGTGTACATGATTATCCCAGATAGCCAGCTTCTTTTTCAACATATCCACTTTATATTTAAAAATATTTGTACATGTCTGTTGTAGAGAAATGTCAAGTTCATTAAGGAGGCTCAATATGACCAGATATATGCCAGCCTAGCCATCCATTGCTCATTCAATGCTCATTCAATAAATTCCCTACTAGGTCAAAGGTTTGCTGTCACAACAACTGCTTTACTTCCTCCCACAGTTTCAAAAGATGTGTAATAATCTGTGTTTTTTTATAACCACATCCCCTCTGCCTGAAGGAGGAGATGATGGTGATGTAAGTGCATACTCTCACATAGTGTCCTAAACAGCCTGAAGTTCTAAGCTTGACTGCGAATTCCATTTATGCTCTTTACCATGTCATTTGTCACACCATTTAATCTGGTTCAAAGATTTATTTTTTTAACTGTGAGGTGCCGCATGTAGATCACACGGTGGGTGGACAACATTTATGTCTCCGGGGGGAGGGACCTCTATGGCGAAGTGGTCAAGCCATTTGCCTTGCGCTGTGAAGGTCATGGGTTGGTTTCACGGCTGTGTCATTCAGTTCACAAGTGCCTTGATATAAATATTTTATAGGGTTGAACTAGGAATTTAGGAAACTAATGCACTACAGAAGAATCAGTGAATAATTTTTGAAAGAGAGAGGGAGGGAGAAGATGGTGCCTTGTTTAATTCTGTGGTGTCTTCCTACAGCTGGTCCAGCCTGTGTGTGAGAGAGAGAGTGAGTGAGTGTATGTTAGAGAGAGAGAGAGGATGTGCCTTACATAACTCTATGTCATGTCTCCTTACAGTTGGTCCAGTCTATGCCATGGAAAAGCTCCCCTGTTGTAGACAGTGAATGGAAGAAGAAGGTGGCCTCAGAGATGTTGAGTAGCCTCAGTGAATCCAGGTCAGTTATTTCATGTGACACCAGTGCTCACTCTGCTATCCAGTTCTTCTTCTTCAGCATTCCGAGCCCTTGAGGTTCTTTGATGTAGGTACCACCTGCCTTTATCTTAGGGAGTGGCCTTATTTTTCTAATTGACTGCAAGCATTGGTAGGTCTGCTTGGATATTATCACTCCATGGTCTTCTTGGTCTGTATTGTTGTCTACGCCTATTTAACTCTTTTTGTATACACAATTTTTGTCTCTCATTTATGTGCTGTTCTCTCTGTATACAATCCACTTATTTAGAATAAATGAAGATACTCATCCAATTTCCACAGTGAGGCATAGTTGGGCATTGGTACTAGCTCCCTAATTTATTTATTTTTTAATAGACCTATTGGTACTTATAGGATTATGTTGTCATTATAACATTGATTGCCTTTTTAATTCTGAGAACACTTGTTTGGTATCCATTCCAAACTGAGTTGACTTGGGAACCCAGGTTAAATTTGAAAATCCCCTTTGATGGGGGTTCTAAAATATGATCAATGGTCTGGCAGACAAACAAGCTAGCTGTGTTCCACAGCTGCTTCCTTCTTTATATTATGCCATATTTAGTGTCATGACATGTTTATATATTATGACTTATTTAATGCCTGACCTGGATGAACAACCAGAACTTTCCGCCTGAATTTACAGCTGGTGAAAGCTAAATATTTCACCAGTCTACGTTAAAGGCTACAAATTAGAACAAATGACTCATTTCAAATATTTAGGATCCATTTTAAATGACTTGGGTCAAGACCAGAAATTATGTCTAGAATTGCCCAGACAACATCAGTCCTTGCCAAGCAGCAAACATTATGGAAATCTAAAAACATTTCATGCAAAACTAAGATTGCTCAGAGCACTAGCTATTAGTTCATTTACATATGGCTGTGAAACGTGGACCTTAACAACTGAACTTGAAATAAGATACAAACATTAGAAATGCGATGTTTCAGAAAAATTCTTGGCATATAATACAGAGACAACATTACAAATTAAGAGGTTCACCATAAAATTATACAGCACATTGGCAACTTTGAATCTTTTTTAACTACAGTGAAAAGTAAAAAAATGCAATGGTATGGACATGTAAGAATATCTAACGACCTCTCAAAAACAAAACTGCAGGGCTAATTAAAGGGAAAGAGGAGAAGAGGCAGACCAAGAAAGACCTGGTTACATAACCTGACTGACTGGACAGGCCTCAGGCATGCAACCATGAAGTCCATCGCAACTGACCACCAAAGGTGGAGAGAGCTAGCTGGTCAACAGAAACTGGTGACCCAACGACACGTAGTGTTACGGGATGATGATGATGATCACTAAGAAGAAGAAATACCATCCACCATTTTCCTCTTTAACAGAGAGTAACATACTGCATTTATTTTATGTGTAGCTACATTTCTGAATCCCTGTAAAATGATATCTTGAAAATATATTTTCATGTCTTCAGGTTGGCAAAAAGTATCTCATCCCAGATCAAAGACAGGTTAAATAAATCTCATGAAGCTTTCAGCAATGCACTAAAACAGTTAGAATTGAGGCACTCTAACCGGCTAGACAAAATTGAGGAGCATCGTCTCAAGTTGCGCAAAGTTCATGCACCTCGACTTGCCAAACTGGCGCTAGAAAGCACATCTCTTAAAGATGTTATTTTATATGGTGAGTTCACACTTTTATTTTGTTTCGCAGCTTGTCTGCTTATTGAAGTCTAGAGTATGGTGGTGTTTCCTAGCTGTCTGCTTACTGTTGTATGGAGTATGGTGGTGTTTCCCAGCTGTCAGCTTACTGTTGTATGGAGTATGGTGGTGTTTCCCAGCTGTCAGCTTACTGTTGTATGGAGTATGGTGGTGTTTCCTAGCTGTATGTTGGCACTCAAGAGAAATAACTGATCTGTTCATCATTGCTCATTGTGGTATACTGTCTGTTGGCACTCAAAAGACATAACTGATCTGTTCATCATTGCTCATTGTGTTATACCGTCTGTTGGCACTCAAGAGAAATAACTGAACTGTTCATCATTGCTCATTGTGTTATAGTGTCTGTTGGCACTCAAGAGAAATGACTGTTTTAACGGGTTGTCTTTTCAGGGATGCCACAGCTGGGCAGGGAGATTGGCAGAGGCCAGTACGGAGTTGTCTATTCCTGTGAGCAGTGGGGAAATCACTCACCATGTGCTATCAAATCTGTGGTGCCTCCAGATGACAAACATTGGAATGACTTAGCCCTTGAGTTCTTTTACACAAAGTGAGTAAGTTGATGTGTGACTGGAGCCACTTTTACTGTTGGTTCATGCATGCATTATTAGAAATTCATTGTCTGTACCATAGGTCGGTATCTGTGACTTAGGCGTTGGGAACAAACTTCATAATGCTGGGGTGCCGGATTTGATCCCAGCTGCGGGCCTTGCACCTAGCGTTAGTTTCGACAGTGGTATCGAGAAGCCGACCATCAGGAAAGCAGTGGCAAACTACCGGACGTAAATTTGCATAGCAAAACCACAACAGCCAAAAAATGCTAGGGTTGGTTCTGCAACATCCTGTAAAGGATACGCAACCAAGGTCATAGCTAGTGCCATAATGAGGAGAAAAGGACGGCAATAAAATAATAGATGTTCTGCTTTCATGGGGGTCAGATACACAACCTTTGTTGGAGGCAGAAGTGTTAGTTTCTTGGTATGTCCTGACTGAAGTTACAGTATACATACACAACATTTGATTGATAAACATACCGGTTACATATACTTTGCATATTTTAACTGTCAATGAATTCAAATATCTGGGAACAGTCATATCATCAGATGGAAAATGTGTGACAGAGATTAAAAGCAGAATAGGTCAAGCGAAAGCTGCATTCCAGAAAAAGGAAAATGTGCAATAAATCGCTGTCATTTAATGTCAGAAAGAGAGTGCTAAAAGGCTACATAGAACCTGTTCTGCTGTATGGCAGCGAATCTTGGAATGTCACTGAACAAATTAAGAAGAATTTAGAAGCAACAGAGGTGTGGTTTCTGAGACGATGTCTAGAATGTCCACTAGAAAGAGATTCGTTACAGACAAACATCATTGATTTGATTTGATTTGATTTGATTCAAGAACCGACATCACAGCACTTGAGGCATTCCCATAAGCGCTCCGTCCCCATCTTCAGCAGCCAGCGAAGAGTTCCGATACTAATGGTGCCAGTAGCTTTCTGATTAAACGTCTGTCTTGCCTTTCCTCTGAGCCTCGAGCATCTGCCAGAACCTCTCGTCACTTCCCACTGCAGAAATCTCACCAGACTGTGGTGATCCATCTGCTCCTCCGAACTGTACACGCTCTCCGACAAGGCACTAACCACGTCTGCCTTATCATGTGTCAGTATTCCAACAAGTTGTGCAGAGCCAGCCAGTCTGTCTGCCTGTTCATTCCCCAACACACCGGCGTAGGCGGGGAAAAAATCCAGACAATACTCCTCACCCGTGTCCTCCGCAGCGAAGCATGCCACTCTGCACAAAGCATACCTGTTCTGATCTTCCTCAGCATGCTTTCTGAATCAGTTACAATCATGATGTGTGTGTACAAAACACAAACATCATTGGAGAAACACTAAGTTACTGATCAATTTTATGCAGTATATGGCAGTCATAATTTAAGAATTTCAAAGCTGCTTCTCATCAAAATATAATTGCTTCACTTATACGCTTTTGAAGCTGGCATGTTAGCTTGCTTGTTGTCAGCAACACCGTTTAACCAAACTGCAGATCTAGTTCTTTTCCCGAAGATATAAAGCTTGTTAATCAGTAACTCACTTAGCACTCTGAAACAGTCATCGTTAAGTTGATCATTTGCTCTCAAGTCTTTTGAAATTAATTTGGAAAGTATTTGAAGATGAAAGAGTGGAAATGCCTTTTGAATAACATACCTAAGGTGGGGGTTTTTTTTTTTTTAAAATAAATAAGAGCATGTGTATCAGAGTATATGTTGATCTCAAAACAGATACAGCAGCTGTTTGGATGGTGAAGTGATAGGCCTTCACATTTACCAGATCATGTATAATTACATGCTAATTAGCAGTAGAGTGCAAAAGCATTTAACAGGCATCATGACAAGCATGATTTTAATTATACAGGAAGAAGATTAACTGAAGATGGAACATTAGATAAAGCAAACCATGCATTAAGACAGCTGCCCCTCCCCTTCTCCCCCCTCCCTCTCCCCCATTACAGTTTATGACAGTCCCAGTCAGCACAAAGAAACATTTCCTACAAAGCAAATTCTTTCCCACTCTACCCTACCGGTGCCGGACATGGTCACTCACAACAAACCACACAATAAAATTATTACCCACAGAAATGAGGTGTCTGAGGAGAGCTGCAGGAGTGACCAGAAAAGATAAAGTCAGAAATGAGATCATAAGGGAAAATGTTGCACTTAACCTTTTCTGAATTACATTCAGAGATAGCGGATCAAGTGGTTTTTCCACTTGGAGAGAATGCCTTGCAACGCCATATACCATACAAGACCTACATCAAAAGAGGAGAAGGACATAGAGCACAAGGTAGACCAAGAACAAGATGGAAAGATAATATCAGAGAAACTCTACAACAGCACAATGTCTATGGTCAAGGCGGCCAGAAGAGCAAGAAGCAGAACCTTATATCTCTCTTGATACCCAAAGCAGTAAAATAGTAAGTGAAGAAGAAGCAGAAGAAGATGTATAATTAGATGACATGACCCATTGGTTTCCTCACCAGAATCTGTTACATGCCTGTATGTGTCTGGCTTCACCTGTACCATCTACAGCCAGCAAAACAGATCCCCAGTTGGAGATTGAACCAGGATCACTAAGCTTGCAACCTAGTCCTCTACCTACTATGTTTTTATCTGTCGTTTAGGGTTTATGATACACTGTTTAAGATGAGGCTGCATGCAGTTTGGCAGCAGACCACTTTTTGTTGATTTTGACAATGATATGAGCGTGACTGTTCAGAGAACAGTGCAGAAGACTTCTGAGCTTAAGTTAATTTTTTTTTTCCTAGAAACATTCCTGCCCATGAGAGGATAGTGATGTTGCGAGGCTCAGTCATAGACTACATGTACGGTGGAGGCACATCTCCGGCTGTGTTGTTGGTCATGGACCGGCTGCAGAGAGATTTGTACACAGCTATCAAACAGGGTTTAGACTGGTTGAGTAGGTTAGTTGTGTTTTTTTTTAAATCTTCAACTTTCTTACTTTATTCCCTTTCATTTCAGCACCGGAGTCATGTATATTAGTTCATTCCCTATTTGAGGGATTTCTTTTGCCCCCAACTCATTGACCACTTATTATGTTAAAATGTCCACTTTAATCTGGTATCCATTTGATTGTTTTCACACTCCACATCCGAATAGGTTATATTGACGTTGAGATTTCACTTAACAGTTTTTATGCTGTTTGTTTCATGCGAGTTTCATTCATGCTATCATGCTTCTAATTACTGTTCACACATTCTCATTTATTTTCACTTATACCTATCACTTGTCTCTATTTCGTAACAAATGTACATCACTATCTGTTTCGCTTATACCTCTCCCTTGTGGTCTCTATCTCGTAACAAATGTTTTCACTTATGTACATCACTATCTGTTTCACTTATACCTCTCACTTGTGGTCTCTGTCTCTTAACACTTGTTTTCACTTATGTACATCACTATCTGTTTCACTTATACCTCTCACTTGTGTTATCTGTCTTGTAACACTTGTTTTCAGTTATGTACGTCACTATCTGTTTCACTTATACCTCTCACTTGTGGTCTCTGTCTCGTAACACTTGTTTTCAGTTATGTACGTCACTATCTGTTTCACTTATTTCTCAATCTAAGGTGCCCGTCTCTCTAGCATAGTTGGCTTAACCGGATTGCGTGGTGAGCGAGTGACGAACTCCTTGTGGTCTGGGTTCACTCCCGGGGGTGGGCAGAAAAGCCATATTTCTCCCTGATTTACGGTATTTAAAATGGAATGAAGGCCGAAAGGTTGCGATATCCATAATACCGAGTATAAGGGTTAACAACTCATGGCTTCTGGAGACTAAAACAAGCAAACTCAATCTAAGGATCATGTCTGAGCCATGCAGAGGACTTGCATCTATTGCAGTGAATTTGATGGAGACACTTTGTACCTCCCCCACATACCAATATACCATCTCTGTTTGACTTTATTGCAGACGTCTCCATTCTTTCCCCAAGCTTAGAAACCAGTGCAGTGTCATCATCATCCTTTGTAAGTCATAAGATGTCACAAGGGCTCATTCTTTCACTCAGCTCTATTGCATGCAACTCTCTCAATTTCTGACATGTTCAACCCAGCATTTTTAGCCTCTCGTAATAAAGTTCTTGTTAATGTTTTCCTTGGATGTCCTCTTTTTTTAATGACCATTTGTTTCCCATTTCAAAGCTTGTTTTATAATTCTTTGCTTATTTCGTCTCAGAGTGTCCCCAGTATATCTTGACTTTTTGTCTTATTGCAATCAGTACAGGTATTTGTCTAGTATTTCTCTGATCTTACTCTTTCTCGAATTCATCCCATTTTCAGTTCAGTATTTTTCTCACACATGTATTTTTTAATACATTTAACTTTTTGTTCCGTATCTTTGGTGATGAACCAACTTTTGTTGGCATATGTTAGAATTTAAATAATGTTAGAATTGAAGGTTCGTAGTTTGGTCTTAAAGCTATGTAACTTATTGCTCTATATTTTTGTTAAGGTTTTTAAACACTGTTGTTACTTTGCCAATGCAAATCAGAATTTCCTTCGTTATATCTCTTTGAGAGTCAGAAATGCTACCCAAATAAGTCACGTTGTCCATTACTTTTATTGATTTTTTTTCTCTAGCATGACATCTACATGATCTGTTTTTTGCTGTGTTTAATATATTTGTTTTCTCATAACTTATTTGGAGACCTGTTTTTTTTTTTTTTTTATGCATAACAAATCATCTGTTTTTCTCTGCGTGTCCTTGTTTTATTTTTACTTAACAGAACAACATCATCTGTGAAATCTGTATCTTCTAGTTTTCTGTTTTCTACCCAATCAATGCCAATATTGCCTTTGCAACATTTTTTCATTACACAATCAATGGCTACTTCAGACTGCACTCCAAAGTGCAGTGCGCAAGATTATTAATAGAACTAGTCTTTTATTTAGTAAGTGTGGTAAAGGTTTTGTTTCTAAATTCTTTAAATTATCTTATATTTGTCTTTGCATTTGTTTGCAAATGTTTAATTAGTAATCTCAACCATTAACTAAGCATTCTGGAAATAATATCACACTAGGCTTCAAGTATCCATTGATGTGGTAGAAGGACTTCGTTATCTACACAGTCAAGGACTGGTGCACAGAGATGTCAAGTTAAAGAACGTTCTGGTAAGTACATACTTCAATATTTCACTATTGTAGATGTTCTTGATAGGAATGCTATGGAAGATAACAGCTTCAGTGATACACAGGCTTTTACAGTTTGGTAGCCCTTTTCTACTTTGTATTTGCCTGTAACTAATTCAGTGGGGAGTTTAAGTTGTGAATGACTAGAGTACAGAGTGATTTAGAGGTATACCCATTGACTGCTGAGATCATAAGACATGCTTGACCTTTTTTTTTATCTGGGCATTGAAAAATAAAGTAATGAATGGACGTATAAAATGGACGTATAGAGCTATAATTAAAATTTATAGATCATACTGCACTTGGTGGATGATGTGATCAACATCACGCCAGCTGTCTTTACTTCCCAGAACTGTACCTGGTACCCAGTTAAGACTGGGTCGACATGGGAGTCAAAGTCATTTTGAAAAGAAAGTCCGGCCCACATCAGGATCCAAACCCATGACCTTCCCATCTGCAGGTGAGTGTCTAGCCGCTAGACCACAATGGCCCCCCAAAAAAAGTTAAACCATGCTATCTGTCTTTTGGATCAGAAGTAAAGCAGTATAGTAGTAGTCTGTTTTTTTTTTGGAGGGGGGAGAGAGGAGTGGGGGGTGGTAAATCTTTTTTCAGTTCACTCTATATTTAACATGTAGTGTTGCATTGACCGAAAACACCAAAAAATGACATGCTGACTTATCTACTAGTTGCAGTCTGCTTCCAGCTGAATCAGAACAGTAGGGGGTGAAACATCATAGAAGAACTCATATTTTTAAAGTAATCTGACACAAAACAACTATGGAAAGATGAAGGAAAAGGGAAAGATGTACACAGATTTAACCTAATGTTTCAACAAAAGTCTTTTTCAGTGGACAGAACAGCAGAATCATAAACAGTTTAGAAGGGCATATTAGAAACTAACAAGATAAAAACGGGGGAAATAGGAACATGAATAGCTATTGTGAAACAACACATACAAGACAGTATAAAGACAGTTGCGTAAAATAGCGAGAACCCCTGTTTTCAACTCATAGTTTGTGTTGCGACAGGTTACTTCTTGAAATGCACTCATGGTCTAACAACAACTGACAATCTTCTTCCAGTTGGATCGGGAGAACAGAGGAAAGATCACAGACCTAGGATTCTGCAAGCCAGAAGCTATGATGAGCGGTAGCATTGTGGGGACGCCCATCCACATGGCCCCAGAACTGTTTACTGGTCACTATGACAACAGTGTTGATGTGTATGCATTTGGAATTCTGTTCTGGTATGTTTGTGCTGGACATGTACGTCTGCCGACTGCGTTTGAGCAGTGTGCCAATAAGGATCAGCTGTGGCAGTCGGTGAAGAGAGGTAAACGTGTGTGTGTTGAACAGCTGTAACTATAGTGCGTTTAAAAATTGATGCTGGTGAAAATAAAAACAAAGCATGTTTTGATAAAAGTAGACAGTTTATTATTTATCTGCAAAACATTAACGTCGAGATGAAAATAAGAGACCATGCTAGATTAAAACATATTAAAAAAAGAATGTTCCCAGGATAAGTAATTATCAGAAAATTATCAAAAATATCATGGCATGAATTGGAAAACGGAGTATAGTTCCCCTTTTTATTGTTATTTTTTTGTTTGCCACACAATATGTACTGAATTGACCAGTTTTTCCTTCGAAGTCAGAATGTGCCTACCTGAGAAATGAGGAACTAACAGTCTGCTTACAAATAAGCCAGATCTGTCTCTTGGTTGTCCAAGCAAAACTCAAAGTTCTGGGATAAGACTAAAGTCTAGAAGTGGACGAACAACCAGAAATGTGTGCAGGAGTTTACACCCAGTGAATGTGAAGAAGAAGACTCAACTTTTGTTACACTAGCAACAACCTCCCTGTTGTTTGCTTTTCCTGCCTTTGACCCCCCACTGAAGTCAGTGGACTCAGCCAGTTTATGCCCGGCTCGCTAGCTCAGTTGGTTAAACCTGACTGTGCGACGACCGGGTGACGAACTCCTTGTGGTCAAGGTTCACGCCTGGGGGTAGGCAGAAAAGCCGCATTTCTCCCAGATTTACGGTATCTATCATGGAATCAAGGCTGAAGGGTTGCGATATCCATAGTACTGAGCTAAAGGGTTAACACCAATCCATCCTGTATTTTTCCATCTCCTGCGGCTCTTTCCGTGTCATCCTTTTATCATTCTTCCATCCCGAATTCTCATCCCTCTGTGTTTTTCTTTGATCTTTCTGCCCTGAGGGTTTCAGTGCTAGAACATTCAAGTTATATTATTTTCTGCTTTTCTGAATTCCAGTCTATTCTTCTGACTTCTTTATTCACTGGAATTTGTTTAATTTCTTCCTAAAATTTTCCTGATTGTTCTCAGTGTTTCAGCTCCATATAATAGTACGGATTTGATGCTGGAGTTCAGTATTCTGAGGTTGATACTGTATAATTTCCTTTCACTTCCTCAAACTTTTGCCTGTTTGATGGTTTTCTGCTTGCGTTTCTCCCAAAATATGACCATTATTACTGTTGACACCAGTGGTTTTCAGATATTTCTTTCAATCAATCAGGTGCCGTCTCCACAATGAAGGTTGGCTGCAATGGATCTCCAACAAGCCCTGTCTCTTGCCCTTGATGTACACTCACTCATACTGCTGTTCGTCCATCTCTTGATGTTATCCTCCCACTTGTAATGCTGTCTGCCTTTTGCTCGCCTACCTTGAACCTTTCCCTCTAGGATGATCTTTACAATACTGTTATGTCTTTTAATGTGGCCAAAATATTTCGCTTGTCTCTTTTTTATTTCACCTAGCAACTCTCTTTTCATTCCCAATTTCCTCAGTACCTCTGTATTTGATAGCTTTTGTTTCCATGAAATACGACCTAATCTTCTGTATATCCACATCTCCAAAGAATTGATACGATTTTCCAGTTGTTTGTTCATTGTCCATGTCTCTGTGCCATACAGTAAGGTTGAGAATACATAACATTTGACAATTCTCATTTTTAATGTATTGCTTATTTCTCTTGATGTCAGTAACTTTTGCATGTTGTTGAAAATGTTTTTGGCCATCCCTATTCTTTTCTTGACTTCTGTTTCACTTCTGCCGTCACATATTATTACTTGTCCAAAAAATAAGAAATGTTTAACTTGTTCCAATTTCACCCCGTTCACTGTGATATTCATTGTTAGCTGATTATTTTCTTTGCTAAATATCATGGTTTTTATCTTTTTCAAATTTATATCTAATCCAAATTCTGCACTACTTCTGTTTACTTGCTCCACTAGGTCTTGCAACTCATGCTCACTCTCTGCTAGCAACACTGTGTCGTCAGCATATCTCAGATTGTTTATTATTCTACCATTGATGTGCAGTAATTCTACAATTTCTTAAAAAATGGTTTCTGTACATAAGTTGAAAAAGCTAGGCGACAGCACACATTCTTGTCTTACTCCTCTCTTGATCTCTCTCTGGGGTGAGCAGATGTTGTCATATCTTACTGTTGCTTCTTGCTTCCAGTATAAGTTTCTAATAAGTCTGATATCCTTTCCATCTAGTCCTATGTTTTGAAGAGCTGCAATTAGTTGTTCATGTTGCACTCTGTCGAAAGCTTTTTTGTAATCTATAAAACATGCATAAATATTTTTCTGAACTTCTATATATTTTTCAGTCAGCATCTTTAGACAAATTATGGCCTCTCGAGTGCCACTGTTTTTACGGAATCCAAATTGCTCTTCAGAAACTTCTTTCTCTATTTTATCTTGAATTCTTGCTTGTATTATCTTCAAGAGTAACTTAGTTACGTGACTCATTAGGTAATAGTTCTGTAAATTTCTTTGCCTTTCCTAAATTCATCCTATTTAATGTTAATCACTTTCCTCAAGAGTTTCTTTTTGAATGCAACTTTTGTTCCATGTATTTAATGGTTCTTCAGCTTTCACTGACATAATTTAAAATTGAAATAATACTGGAATTGAAAAGATGCAACTTTTTTATATATTTAACTCTTTGAGTCCCAGAGGGTTAAGCATCACAGGCCCAAGGGGTAGTCAAAAGAGACTAAAATCGGTGCATCATGCGTTCATTGGGCTTCTAGGCAGTAACCTATGAATGTATGATGCGTTTCTTGGGACTCAAAGAGTTAAGAGTTACATATTTCATGTCTTTGCTTCGTCAGTCCATTAACTGTAGATGTTGTTGTGTGTTATTTACTACTTAAGTTATTCTTTTTGTGTTTTGTAAAAGGTCTGAGGCCAGAGCAGCCGGCCAACACCTCAGAGGATTGTTGGTTGTTGATGCAAGGATGCTGGGAGGGAGAGCCAAGCCGGCGGCCATTTTTTGGAGATGTTGAATGCTCTCTTAAAGCCATTTATGAAAAATACAAACGAAAAGTTTCTGCGGCATCGTCAACTGAGAAAAGGTCTTCCTCTGGTGAAAGGGTTCGTCGCACTCCGTCACTTCGTCAGACATCTCCTCGTCACTCAAAACAAATTCAGCCAAACAGATAGAGATCATTTGATATTTACTGTATAAAACTAAAAGGTGTAATCATAAATATTTCACTTACTGAGTGTATGGAGTGAATCGTGGCAGTCTTACTGTAACTGTCGGATTCAAGGCCAACTGCTTCAGTTTCTAGCTGTGCCATTATCTTGTGAATTATTGTCAGATAACTGATGTCATATCCCTTTGGAAATATGTCCTTAGACCTGAAACAGATAAAAGAGAGAGAGAGCGCAAGAGAGACAGAAAGCCTTCTTACTCATCTGCCACGTTTGCTCTTGAAAGAGCGGTTGGTACACTGTGTTATAGTTTATACCTATGCTGCAATATCTGTGTCTTCTGGCCTAAAATATCCAGTTTCAGCAAATCCCTAATTTGCCGTCTTTTATGACTTGCTTGTTGAGGAGTATCAGGTCTGTACTTTCCCCAACAGATTGCGGTGCCGGAACCCAGAGAGGAAAGAGAGAGCACCATGTAGCAGCAGTTGGTTCTGTATTTTATGTTTTTAATGTTCATATTCCTACCTGTGTGACCTCGACATGATGTGGAAGTCAGACTAGTTGTAAAATAAAGATAACAGTTTTGTGGTTCATTATAAAATTGCATAGTTTATTGTTCCTGATGACTACAATATGTTTAATAATTTCTTTCAGTAAAACACTTTAACTCACTCATTACCAAGTAGCCCCATGCATTAGTGCATTTCAGCTGATATGGTATGTGTGTGTGTGTATTTTTTAAAACTTAGCCATCCAATTGTTATACTTACCCACTTGGTCTTAATTATTTCCTTTTGACCAACAGCGCTATTATCCTAACTTTTTGCACCCAAATATTGTTTATTTAAAGAGCCTGTGGGTCGGGGCACCTTTGGGAGTCAAATTATCATTTCACAGGGGTCTCCTTAGACCACTGGAAAACACATATTTACTGAAGTTATGAAGTAGCAACGTAAATAATGTTATGGTTGGGGGTCACCACAACATGAGGAACTGTATTAAAGGGTCGCAGCATTAGGAAGGTTCAGAACCACTTGAATTAACAACTTAGAATAAAATTCTTCTCCTTCTGTGTTCATCTGAAGATGTAAGCGCATTGTGGCCATTTACAACTTGGCTGTAATATTTAAACATTTCAGCAAACACATCCTACTTCTGCAGGCATTTTGTTGCCCAGGTTAGCACGTAGAATAAATTAACGTGATACCTCCTTGGTACTGAAAGTGTTAAAGTAGTACATGCAAGATTATTTTCTTCTTCATTCACCCATAAAAGGTCAGTTTGCCCCTTGCCTTATGGCTTACGACCAATATAATATAGAAGACTTGAAATTACTTAACTCTTTGAGTCCCAAGGAACGCATCATACATTCATAGGTTCCTAACTAGAAGCCTAATGAACGCAAGATGCGCCGTTTTGTGTCTCTTTTGACTACCCCTTGGGGCCTCTGATGCTAAACCCCATGGGACTCAAAGAGTTAATGCTGACAGGTATACCAGGGACAGAAGACTGTATGCAGCTGGTTTCACAGACCTCGGTTTTTTCTTTCTCTGCATTTCTACATAGAACATCATTTTATGGTTTAGAGTAGGACTACAATATCTGCACCTTTCGGCTCAACACATCTGATTTCAGCAAACCCCCAATTAGTCATCTTTTATGACATGTCCTTTTAGGGGCACTGAATCTGTTCTTTTTCCTCTCCCACCCCTTCAATGGGGTCCCAGAACCTGCAAGGGGATAAGCTCTTTAGGTACCAAGGAACTCATCACGTGTTGTTTATTCGATATTTTTGATCCTTCTGTCAGAAAATGTATACCAGGAGGCCGGTAGTCTTGATGGAAGCTGTTGTGCAGTCTATACTCTCCTTGTTTACCATACAGCGTTGTGCTCATTGGTGTTGGAGCAGGCTAGCATTGTATAACTTATTTACCTGTACCCTGATACCAAAAGTGGTTAAGCCTTAGGGACATCAAGCATGTTGTCTAAGCTCAGGCTAGTGTTTTCAGGTTAGTGTACCTGGAGAAATATATTTATTTGATCAGTTTCTTGTTATAAATGCAGACATCACTAAGCTGACATGGATTGCAATCACACATTTTCTGTTTAGAAACAGCAGAACAGACATTTACATTGTGAGAAGGCTGAGTCTGCATAAGTGGTCATACCAAACCAGGGTCTGTGAGTTCTTCTTATATGACAGGTTTTCTGTACTGAACAATCTAAACAAAACAGATGACTGGCCTGCCTCCATAAATCTTATCTGTAGAAGGTCATCATGTGAGTGTCCACAGTTTCTCTGTCTCTTTTGGCACTTGGAGCCAGGTTGTAGTTCTCAAGTTACACACACACACACACACACACACACACAAAAGAGAGAGAGAAAACACATTTGTAGTCTGTGTTCTTGAGTGAGTTTAAATGTCACTGTGGCAAGTGCACTAGTCAGTGTATTTGGCTTTCATTTAGTAGAGAGGCCTTTAGCCTACAGTATCTTGTTTGAGTTTAAAAATGATGGCTGCTTTGTTTATTCATTCTACACCTACCTGCAGATCGGAATGTCATGGGTTCGCATCCTGACAGAGCCTGACTTTTTTTTTTTTTTAAATTACTTTGACTCCCAGGTCGACTTAACCTTGAGTAGGTACCAGGTGCAGTCCCGAGAAGTAGAGTTGTTAAGTGTGACGGTGACCACATCACCCACCAAGTGCCGATTGGTCTAGAAAAATAAAGGTCTAGCCCTATATTCCCAGTACACCAGGAGGCGTAGAAAGGGGACTTTTTATTGTGTTTATTCTCATGTTAGAAAAGATGTTATGGATTTCCATTTAAAATCAAATTGATTTTGAGAAGGGTTCAAAGCCAGCTATGGTCACTTATTTAATTGATATATATATATATATATATATATATATATATATATATATATACACCTTTTTGGAAAGATGTTTTTTGGACGTGAATGTTTATTTTCAACAGGGTAAAAGATAAAATATTTTGCAAGCAGTTGACGTCGTTTCATTTTCAATGAGGAAGCTATGAGAAAATGAAAATTTAAGTTATTTTGGAAACATTTGGTAACATTTTTACTGATGATAATTTGGTTGCAGCCAAAATTTCCTATTAGCAGTTGCCTGATTACCAGTTTTATTGTTAAATACATGATATGATGTTTTGCACTGTGATATTTTCTGACATTTGTGGTCACCTTGCATGCCAGAAGTGATGTGATGTAAAAACAAAAGCTTAAAAATGAGCAACCGTGATATTAAATGGTGGAAGTATACTATGGGAAAGAAAGACCATATGATTGTCAGTCAACATTGGTTAGTGTATTTACTGCACAAATATATTATTTTATAAGAAGGAATTGGTTGTTCGATTTATTTGTTTTTCATTGCCATACAATGCTTTGTTTTCCTTTATTTTAATACAATAACATTCTATGGTTTGAGGTCTGGCAGGCTGTGATGTGTGTGTGTGTGTGGCTTTCTGTGAACATTTCTGTGTGATACAGACAGGCTGTGATGTATGTGTGTGGCTTTCTGTGAACATTTCTATGTGATACAGACAGGCTGTGATGTATGTGTGTGTGGCTTTCTGTGAACATTTCTGTGTGATATAGACAGGCTGGGATGTGTGTGTGTGGCTTTCTGTGAACATTTCTGTGTGATACAGACAGGCTGTTATGTGTGTGTGTGGCTTTCTGTGAATATTTCTGTGTGGTACAGACAAGCTGTGATGTATGTGTGGCTTCCTGTGAACATTTATGTGTGGTACAGACAGGTTTTGATGTATGTGTGGTTTCCTGTGAACATTTCGGTGTAATACAGACAGGTTGTGATGTGTGTGTGGCTTCCTGTGAACATTTCTGTGTGGTACAGACAGGCTGTGATGTTGTGTGTGTGTGGCTTCCTGTGAACATTTCTGTGCGGTACAGGCAGTTGTGATGTTGTGTGTGTCTTTCTTTGAAAATTTATGTGTGATACAGACAGGTTATGATGTTGTGTGTGGCTTCTTGTGAAAATTTCTGTGTAATACAGACAGGCTGTGATGTTGTGTGTGGCTTCCTGTGAACATTTATGTATGATATATTTTCCCTTATGTGTACATGACTGCGATTTTAATTCAGTGTTTTGTTGAACCAGAGGTGTCACTAAATACTTGTATTGCTACCTAGTGAGCGATTTGGATTGTGCCAAAAATGCTATGGACCATGTTGTGTGGAAGGGGCACATCAGGAAGGGAACGAATGAAGGAAGAAATAATTGCAGAAACGATGACGGCTGAGCATCTGAGAAGAAACAGACTAAACACAAGTGTTGACAATCACGGCCCTGCAATTCCATGCTGTAATTGTGGAAGACTTTTTTAGCGTGAATAGGTCTTATAGTCACACTTGCCATAACCATGGGCTGTAAGTCCTCATAGCCCAATATAACACTGTCATCTGAAAAGACGGAAAGGTGCCAATCAAGTATTGTGCCTGGTTTCATGTGTGTGATCTGTAAACTAACCTGGTTTCATGTGTGTAATCCGTAAACTAACCTCGTTTCATGTGTGTGGTCCATAAACTAACCTAGTTTCATGTGTGATCCGTGAAATAACCTGATTTCATGTGTGTGATCCCTGAAATAACCTAATTTCATGGGTTTGATCCATAAACTAACCTGGTTTCATGTGTTATCCGTAAACTAACCTAGTTTCATGGGTTTGATCTGTAAACTAATCTGGTTTCATGTGTGTGTGATCCGTAAACTAACCTGGTTTTATGTGTGTGATCCGTAAACTAACCTAGTCATGTGTGATCCGTAAACTAACCTAGTTTCATGGGTTTGATCCGTAAACTAACTTGTTTTCATGTGTGTGATCCATAAACTAACCTGGTTTCATGTGTGTGATCCTTAAACTAACCTAGTCATGTGTGATCCGTAAAATAACCTAGTTTCATGGGTTTGATCCATAAACTAACCTGGTTTCATGTGTGTGATCCATAAACTAACCTG